TGGAGAATTGGAAAAAGTATCCCTCCCTCACATATATGAAGAAATGAACAATGTGTAAGTGCACACCCTCTGTTGAACCCAACAGAGAGCCGAGGCCCCAGGACAACACTAACCGCAAATCTGGAAGGCAACAGGGATCTTTGGGGAGAGCAGGGGCATGGCAGTTGCTTAGCTAAGGGCGGAAGCCATGAGACACTGGTGGGAAGGATTCAGTTAGAGACGTGGGTGCGTGGGTGGAGGCCGAGAACTCGCTGGTGAAACAATGTGAAGCCTATGGGGCTGCAGATATAAAGGCAGGTATGTAGCCTCTTGCAAGCTTCTTCTTCTCAAAGGCCACCAGGCACTCACAGGTAAGACTGGGAGGATCTTGAGAAAGTTTTCTTTGTGGAGGCCTTGGGAAGGGAAAAATAATCACTGCAGGAGAGGCAGAAAACTCTACTGAGGTTATTCTCTTCTATCTCTCTTAGGGAACAAAAGCCTTAATTTGCAGGACAAAGTGGGCGTCAAAGAATGTTGTTGCACTTAGGGCATTAAGAAAGTTCATTGCAGCTAGGATAAGGGAGCAGGAAAAAATACTCCAGACCTGGGGAAGTGGAAGGAAAAGATACTGGATTCAGAACTTCTAAGTACAGCCCATAAAACTAACAATTGCTCTAGTTACAACTAGACTAATTTAAAGCCTCTTGTGTCTGGAGGGTAACCATAGTAACAACAAGCCTCAGAACCAGTCTAACTCCTAACAAAATTAATACAAAACGCCACATTAAAGACCCAGCAAAAATAAAATTGTGCCCATTTCTGAGCTTAAAAGATTTTAATGAAAAAGATGCACAGAATACAAGATCAGATGGGTTATTCCAGAAGAAAGATGGAAACTATAAGAAGAATTAAATGGGAAGGGTAGAAATAAAAAACAGAAACAAATACTGATATTTGAATTAGTCAGGGTTACCCAGAGGAACAAAATCAACGGGAGACTATAGATGTAGATATAAATGTATGAAGGGGGATTTATTAGGGTGTGTTGTCATTTTTGCATTGCTATAAAGAAATACCTGATGAAGAAAAGAGGTTTAATTGGCTCATGGTTCTGCAGGCTTTACAGAGAGGCATGGTGCTGGCATAGCTTAGCTTCTGGGAAAGCCTCAGGAAGCTTACAATCATGGCAGAAGGTGAAGGGAAGCATGTCACATGGCTAGAGCAGGAGCAAGAGCAAGTTGGGGGGAGGCACCACACACTTTTAAATGACCAGATCTCATGTAAACCCAGAGCAAGAGCTCACTTATCACCAAAGGGATGGCCGAAGCCATTCATGAGAGATCCACCCACCCCCATGATCCCAAATACTTCTCATCATGCCCCACCTCCAACATTGGGAATTACAATTCAACATGAGATATGGGTGGAGACAAATATCAAAACTATGTTATATGGGAATTGGCTCTTGCAATTGTAGAGGCTGAGAAGTTCCATGACAGGCTGTCTGTGAGCTGTAGAGCCTAGGATACTGGTGTTATGGCTTCAGAACCAAGACAGCTGATGGTGTAATTCTAAGACTGAGGTCAAAGGCATGAGAGCGAGGAGCCCGGAATTGTCCAAAGCCAGGAGAGGAAGAGTATATGTCAGCTCCAGCAGACAGATCAACATACTCGTCTCTTCTCTGTTTTCATTTTCTCCAGGCCCCCCGGCAAACTGGATGATGCCCATCTACATGGACGGTGGCTCTTCTGCACCTAGATCACTCAGATTCATATGCTAACTTCCTCTGGAAACACCTTCACAGACACACCCAAAAGTAATGTTTTGCTAGGTTTCTGGATTTTTTTTTATACTTAAGACTAAGAAACCTAAACAAGTTGACACCTAAAATTAACTGTCAGAATGCCTTTGATGGGCTCATCAAAAAACTGAACAGCTGAGTGAACAGGAAGCTTGACAGCTAAGTGAATTTGAAGATAGGTCAAAAGAAATTGCCTAACTGAAGCACAAAGAAAATAAGATTTATGAAACAAATATAAAAGAGAATAGCACATTCAGGAGTTGGGGGGCAATATCTAACAATATATCATATATACTATTGGAATTCCACAAAGAAAAGAGAAAGCATGGGGCAGAAATATGACTTGAAGAAATAATGACCAAGAATTTTCTAAAATTAATGACAGACACCAAACTACAGATCCAAAATGCTTAGATAATATCAAGGAGGATAAAGAGACCTACCCTCAAAAACAAAATTAAAAGATATGTGGGCATGTCAAATTCCATCTGTTAAAAACTGAAAACAAAGAAATCCTGACCAGAGAGGGGGGAAAACCATATTAAATACAAAGTAACAAAGGCACTTGTTATCAGAATCCATGCAAGGCAGAAGACAACGGAGTGACATCTTTAAAGTAATGAAAGAAAAATGAATTGTCTACCTAAAATGCTACACCCAATGAAATAGGTTTTAAAATGTAGGAGGCATAATAGCCTCTCCAGGAAAAAATATTACAGAATTTATCACTTGAAGATGTGCTCTATAAGAAAAGTAAAAGGAAGTTCTTTGAGCAAAATGAATTTAGTCTCAGACAGAAACTTGAAAGAGTAACAAAGAAAATAAATGAAGGTAAAATAAATTTTATTTTTTAATTACTCTAAAAGGCAACTATCTGAAGCAAAAAATAATTATACCTATGTAAAATGTGTGGTAATAGCACACAGAACAGAAGGGAATAATTGGAGATGAACTGTTGGGACATGTATATCACATGTAAAATGTTCCATGTAAAATATGCTACATGTATAATATACATGTACAATACATGTAAATACTACATGTAAAAGTATATTACTTAGAGATAGGCTCTGTTTAATTAAAAATGTATATTATAAATCCTACGACAACTACTAGTGAAATAACAAGAGGTATAAATAGTCTATAGTGGACATAAAATGGAATCATAAAAATATTTAAATAATTCAAATGATAAGAGACAAAAGAAATAAAAACAGATGAAATGAATTGAAAAAAGCTACTAAGATAGTATATTATAATCAAAACAATTTAAATCAAAAACCACACTAAATATTTATGTCTAAACACACCAATCAAAAGGCAGAGACTTCCAGGTTGGATAAAAAAGCAGTATGCTATCTACAATCATACAAGAAACTCCAAATATACTATCTATACCATACCTGTACAAGAAACTACACAGAGCTAGGTTAACAGTAAAAGGATAAAATAAGATGTATCATGCACACACTAATTTAATTTCTCTTGAGTATATATCCAGGAGTAGAATTTCTGGGTTGTATAATAAGTCCATCTTTCACTGTCTGGAGAACTGCCAGATTGTTTTTCCAAAATGGCTGTACCATATGACATTCCCACCAGCAGTGTTTGAGGGTCTTGATTTACCCACAACCTCCTCAACACATATTTATATTTGACTTTGATTACAACCATTGTATTAGTCCATTCTCACACTGCTAAAAAAGACATACCTGAGACTGGATAATTTATAAAGGAAAGAGGTTTCACTGACTCACAGTTCAGCATGGCTGAGGAGGCCTTAGGAAACTTACAATCATGGCAGAAGGGAAAAAAATGCCACATCCTTCTTTACATGGCTGCAGTAAGAAAAAGTGCCAAGCAAAGGGGATAAAGCCCCTTATAAAACCATCAGATCTTGTGAGAACTCACTATCATGAGAATAGCATAAGGGTAACTGCCCCGTGATTCAATTACCTCCTACCAGGTGCCTCCCATGACTTTTGGGGATTATGAGAGCTACAATTCAAGATGAGATTTGGAGGGGAACACAGCCAAACCATATCAACCATCTTGGTGGGTATAAAATTATACCTCCTTATGGTTAGTTTTCCTAAAACTAGTATCCACTATTGAGAGTGGGTACTAAAATGTCCAAATATTAAATTGTTTATTACTCTTTATTTTTGTCAGTTCCTTCATGTATTTTGATGCTCTGTTGTTAATTGCATATATGTTAATAATTGTTTTGTCTTCTTGATGGATTGAACCTTTTATCATTACAAAATGTCCTCTTTTGACTATAATAACTTTTTTGTGTTTATCTTCTCTGATATTAGTATAGGTGTAATTGCACATTTCTTGTGGTTACTGCTTGGATTTTTTTAATCCTTTTACTTTTAATGTATTTGTATCTTTGAATCTAATATATATTTCCTCTAGACATATCTTTTTCCCCTCTAGCCTGACAGTCTGTGCTTTCAATTATTTAACCCATGTACATTTAATGTCATTATTGATACAGGTTGATTTGTAACTGCCATCTGTCTGTTTTCTATGTGTCTTGTTTCTCTTTTCTTCTTTTACCGCTTTTTTTTGCATTTTGCATTTCAATTTTATATGGTAGAATTTTAATTTTTAAATGATATTCTTTACTATATTTTCTTGACTAATTTCTTTAGTGGTTGCTCTAGGCCTACTTTATGTACCTTAATTTATTAGTCAGCTTCATATTAACAGTAATGTAGTTACAGTAAGATGTGGAAATGCTACTACTATATAGGTTTATTTCTCCCCTCCCCCGCTTTTTAGTACAGTCCTGTGCTGCATAATGATGTTTCAGTCAATGACAAGCACATATACAATAGTGGTCCCATAGGATTATAATAAAACTCTTATTTCCCCTGAAGACCTTCCAGTGGAACAAGATGTGGAAGAGAAAGACAGTAATGTTGATGATCCTGACTCTATGTAAGCCTAGGTTAATGTGTGTATTTGTCTTGGTTTATAATTTAATAATGTAAAAAAATTAAAAAATTGAAAAAGCTTACAGGATAAGAATATTAAAAAGAAAATATTTTTGTATAGCTGTACTATGTGTGTTTTAAGATTAGTGTTATTGCAAAAGAGTCAGAAGTTTCAAAAATTGAAAAATCTATAAGAAGTCACAGTAAGCTAAGGTTAATTTATTTAAGGAAGAAAAATATTTAAATAAATTTACTCTAGCCAAGTGTACAGCATTTATAAAGTCTACAGTAGTGTACAGTGATGTCCTGAGCCTTCATATTCACTCATCACTCACTCACCAACTCATCCAGAGCAACTTTCAGTTCTGAAAGTTCCATTTGTGATACGTGCCCTATACAATTGTGTACTGTTTCTTTCCTTTCTTTCATAGCATACTTTTACTATACTTCTTCTATGTTTACATATGGTTAGATACACAAATACCACTGTATTACAATTTCTTACAGTATTCAGTAAGTCACATACTGTACAGGTTTGTACCCTAGAAGCAGAAGTCTATAGAATGTGGCCTACATGTGTAGTAGGCTGTATCATCTAGATTAGGGTAAGTATGATCTATGATGTTTGCACAAGGACAAAATCACCTAACGATGCATTTCTCAGAATGTATTCTCATCATTAAGTGATGCATTACTATATTACTGTTATACATATTACATCTATAAGTATTAGAAACCCAAATATACATTACTATTATTAATTTATATAATTGTATCTCTCTTAAAGAAGCTGAAAGAGATCAAGTATATATTTATAGCTTTTGTTACATTCTTATCATTTCTGCTTATTTTTAATTTTTCCTGTGGATTCAAGTTAGCACCTGGAGTCATTTCTTTAGCTGAATACAACTTAATTCTTGCTCACTTCTTTTGTGCAGATAATACTTCCAATTCTATTCTATGTGGTTAGAGAATATGCTTTGTCTTATTCAATCCTCTTAAATTTATTGGGGTTTGTTTTATAGGCTAGCATATGGTAAATCCTGAATAATATTTCATGTACATTTGAGAAGAATATATATTCTCTCATTGTTGGGTGGAGTGTTCTGTAGATATGTATTAGGTCTTGTTTATCATGTTGTATATTTCCTTTCTATATGCTATAGGCCAAGCCATAAATGTAAATATTGTTTTATACAGTTGCTTTTTAAGCCTCTTAAGAAAGGAGAAAAGTATACATTTATACTGCATTCTGTAATTACATAGTTACCTTTATTAGTAGTGTTTTTTTTTCTCCTGGATTCAGATTACTGCCAGTAGTCACATACTTTTAACCTGAATAACTTCTGACCTTAGGATTTTTTGTAAGGTATCGGTTAGCAGCAAATTCTCTCTGCTTGTGTTTATCTGGGAATACATGACTGTCACCTTTAGTTTTAGGAGATAGCTTTGGTGGATATAGAATTCATAGTTGACAGTTTTTTTTTTCTTTGTGCATTTTGAGCACTGTCTTCTGGCCTTTTTCATTTCTGTTAAAAAGTCAGCTCTTAAACTTACTGGAATTTCCTTAGAAGTGATGAGTCATTTTTCTCTTGATGCTTTCAAGATTTTCTCCTTTCACTTTTAGCATTTTTTTTATTGTGATGTGTCTGGATTTGTGTTAATCTACCTACTTAGAGTTCATTAAATTTTCTAGATGTATAGATTAATTTTCAATAAATTTGGGGCATCTTTAGCCATTATTTCCTTGAATATTATTTTCTGCTTTTTTTCTCTCTCCTCTATGTTTGGTACTCTCATTACATGTATATTAGTGTGCATAATGGTGTCTCACCAACATCTCAGAGGCTCTGTTTATTTTTAAAATTATGTTTTCTCTCTGTTCTACAGATTGCATAATCTCCATTGATCTGTCTTCAAGTTTATTAATTATTTTTTCTGCCAGTTAAAATCTATTGTGGATCCCCTCTCGTATATTTTTCATTTAACTTATTGTACTTTTTAACTTCAGAATTTTCATTTGATTATTTTAGAATAATTTCTATTTCTTTATGAATAGCCCCTGTTTAATATGAACATATAATGTATTTCCCTTACTTTTTAAGTCATGGTTTCCTTCAGTTCTTTGAACATATTTATAATGGCTATTTTGAATACTCTTTCTGATAAATTTGACATCTGGTCATTCTCTCAAGCAGTTTCTGGTGTGTGTGTTATACTTTTATGTTTCTTTGCATGTTTTAATTTTTTTCTGTAAACTGGACATTTTAAATACTATATTATAGCAACTCTGGGTATTGCTCTTTCCTTCTCTGGGGCTTTTAAATTATTTTTTTATTTGTTTGATGACTGGCTGGATTGTTTTAATGAAGTCTGTTGTTTCCCACTTCCCACAGTATGAAGCTTCTGATGTCACTCCTTGGGAGGTAGGGGGCAGTCTTGGGTATGACTATAGTCACCCGGGGATGATAGTGGCTTTGGAAGGACTCACTTTGACTGTCTCTTTTCCCAGCCACCCTAGCATACAATCACCACCACTAACTGCCACCTGATTGCGTCTTCATTGTTTTTTTAAAAAATTCTCTTGAACGTAAGTTGGAATAAACTGATCCAATAAAGTTGGGAGTCCCTTTGAAGGGATAGTTATTGAGGTCAATGTGTGAGATTTGTTCTGAACCTAGGAGGTCCTCTCACTTGTCTTCCTTTTTGAATCTTTCTAGCAAACTAACTGGCTGGCAGTTTAGCTTATCTCTCCAGTGATTCTGCCAGTCTCCTTTCATTTGCCTTTTACCACAACCTCCATTGTTTTTGAGGGTGTCATTAGGCTTGAAGTCCGTACCATGTTACAAATGAGGTCAGTTTCTTTGAAAAAAGATTCAGGGCTCTTTTTTAAGTCTTGCTGCTTCCCCCAGGCAAAAATCTATCATACATGGCTCTGGGGCTGAGAGTTGAAAGAATGGCACACTTCTCTCTGTGGGACATCCCCACTTCAGAAGCTGAGCACTTAGTGAAGGGAGAGAAAATAGCGTCAGAATGTTTTGGTTTGCCTCTCCTGGCTTGGAACCTCTGATCTGTGAACTACAAATGAGCCAGGGTAGGGTAATTTAAATCATAGTATTCCCAGCATATCACACTTTTAATAAAGCTTCCAACTCATGAGTGGGGAGTGGGAAGAGGCAAGGGACAACATCCAACTTCTCAGCTGCAATCACCTGGAAGGTAAGCCTTAGAACAGGCAGCTGAAGGCAAAAGGAGAGATGCTGATGTCCTGCCCATCCTGAGAAGGCAGTTTTCTGATGGGGGGCTGGGGAAAGATGCACCCGTCCACAGTAGAGTTTTCATTTTGCTGAGCTGAGAGGAAGAAGGGTGAGAGCAGTCAGTTCAAATACCACAAACTCTTGCTATTGTTACTAAATTTTAGATTTTCTTGAGTAACTGATTTTTCATTTGTTGTATGCTCTTAATATAATTTCCATAAGCTTTAAATGGTTGGATAGTTTTTATAATTTCAATCAGTCTCACAGGAGAGCGAGAATACAGTCCGTTACGCTATCATAACAAAAGTGTAACTCAAAGAAGGATACTTTCTCAATCTTATAAAGAGCAGCTACAAAATTTCTACAGTTGACATCATACTTAATGGTGAAAAATTGAATGATTTCCCTCTAAGGTGAGGCATAAGGAAGATGTGATCTCTCACAGTTTTTATTTAATTCAACCCCATAATGGAAACCAATGCAATAAGGCAAGAAAAATAAATGAAAGGCATACAGACTGAAAAGGAAAAAACAGAGCACTTATATTTGTATACAATATAATTATGTATGTAGAAAATCCCAGATAATTTACAAAAAAGCTTCTAGCACAAATAAATGAATTTAGCAAGGTTGTAGAATATAAGCCCAATATGTAAACACCAAATATATTTCTATACACTAGCAATATAGAATTGAAATTCAAAATTTGTAAAACAAATTTATCACAGTACAAAACATAAAATACTGGGTGTAAATCTAACAAAATAGGTATAGGATCTTTATGCTGAAAACTACAAAACACTGAGGAAGAAATAAAAGAAGACTTAAATAGGTAGAGAGATATCCATTATCATGGATTAGAAGATTCAAAATTGTTAAGTTATTAATCCTCCTTAAATTGGTCTAGAGATTAAATCCAACCTTATTTAAAACCCCAGCATTTAAAAATAAATATTAACAAGCTGTACCCAAAATTTATATGGAAAGGCATAGGAACTAGGAGAGCCAAAACAGGGGTCCAAAGTGGCTCCCGCCAGAGGTCATGGTGCTTGCGAAGGCGAGGTCATCAGTTCAAGGCTAACCTGAGCAACCTCATAAGCTCAAACTGATTGGCAAAAAAAAAAAAAAAGAAGAGCCAAAACAACTGGAAAAAGAACAAAATTGGAGGACTCACACTACCTAATTTTAAGACTTACTATAAAGGTACAGTAATCAAGACAACATACTATGGATAAAATAATAGTCACATGGAAAAATAGAATGAAATGGAGTCCAGAAATAAACCTACAAAAATGGCTTTGACAAAGATACAAAAGGCATTCAATGGAGAAGGAATACTTTAAGAAATTGTGTTCAATTGCATTTTCTGATGTAAAGAAGAGAACCTTGATCCAGACATCATGTTTCATACAAAACAAAAAAAATGAAACAAACAAACCTGAAAATGAATTATAGATCTAAATGTAAAGCAAGAAACTATAAAATTTCTATAAGAAAACATGGGACAATGACTCTTTATGACTGTGAATTAGGCAAAGTTTTTAGATATGACACTAAAATCAGGATTCATTAGAAAAAACAGACTTCATTAAAATTAAAAACTGTTGCTCTGGGAAAGTCACTGTTAAGAGAATAAAAACAAGACAAATATTGGGAGAAAATATCTGCAAATCACATTTGTGACAAATAATTTGTATCCCATATACATAAATAACTTTTAAAGTTCAACAAGACACTAAATAACCCAGTTTTTAAAATGAGAAAAAGATCTAAATAGATGCCTCACCAAAGAAGATATACAGATAGCAAATAAGCATATGAAAAAATTCCCAATGTCCATTAGTCATTAGAAAACTACAAATTAAAGGAGAGAGATCCAAGATGGCTGATTAGTAGCAGCTCAGGATTGTAGCTCCCAGTGAAAGTGCAGAGAACGAGAGGAAGCCACACTTTCAGACAAAGTTTTGTTGCTCACAGACGTGGAGATTCCCAGTGGAGGAGCCCCATGGGTCACCAGCATGACTCTTGTGGCCGGTGCAGTGGTTCTTGGTGCAGAGTAAACGGGACTGGGTCCCCTTTTGGTCGACGTCTGGAGCTCCAGGAAGGCAGAGTCGTCTATTCAGCTGATTGAAAAAGGGACTCAAGAGGGAAGCCAGACTGGAGATTCCCAGGCAGAAAAGCACCACGAATCTTAATGCCATTATTTTAGCCGGTACAGTGGGTTGCTCAGATTCCGGTGCTGGGTATCAACAAGTTGGACATCCACTCAGAGACCTAATTTGAAAGTCAATAATTACAGAGATGACAGGTGGATAAATGTAAAACGATGGGAGGGAACCAGCATAAAAAGGCTGAGAATACCCAAAATCAGAACGCCCCTCCCTCCAAAGAGGATCACAGTTCCTCATCAACAAGGGAAAAAGGCCTGATGGAGAACAAGTGCATTGCATTAACAGATTTAGGCTTCAGAAGGTGGATAATAATAAACTTTTGTGAGTTAAAAGAACATGTTCTTGCCCAATGTAAAGAAACTAAGAACCTTGGAAAAATGGTTTGATGAAATCCTAATAAGAATAGACAATCTAGAGAGGAATATAAGTGAATTAATGGAACTGAAGAATACAATATGAGAACGCTGTGAAGTATGCACAGGTTTTAACAGTCGAATTGATTAAGCAGAAGAAAGGATATCAGAGGTCGAAGACCAACTTAATGAAATGAAACGAGAAGACAAGATTAGAGAAGAAAGAGTAAAAAGGAATGAGCAAAATCTCCAAGAAATATGGGACTATGTGTAAAGACCTAATTTACATTTGATAGGTATACCTGAATGTCATGAAGAGAATGAATCCAAGCTGGACAATATTCTTCAGGATATTATTCAGGAAAACTTTCCTAACCTAGTAAGGCAGGAAAACTTTCCTAACCTAGTAAGGCAGGACAATACTCAACTCCACAAAGAGAACACAGAGAACACCACAAAGATATTTCTCAAGTAGAGCAACCCCAAGGCACATAATGGTTAGATTCACCAGGGTTGAAACAAAGGAGAAAATTCTAAGGGCAGCTAGAGAGAAAGGTCAGGTTACCCATAAAGGGAAGCCTATCAGACTCACAACAGATCTCTCAGCTGAAACCCTACAAACTAGAAGAGAGTGGGGGTCAATAGTCAATATCCTCAAAGAAAAGAATTTTCAACCCAGAATCTCATATCCAGCAAAATTAAGCTTCATAAATGAAGGAAAAATAAAATTTTTCACGAACAAGCAAGCACTCAAGAGATTTCATCACCACCAGGCCTACTTTACAAGAGCTTCTGAAAGAAGCACTATACACAGAAAGGAACAACCAGTATCAGTCATCCCAAAAACTTACCAAAAGGTAAACAGTATCTCCATAATAAAGAATTTATATCAACTAATGGGCAAAATAGCCAGCTAGCATTAAATGACAATATTAAACTCACAAATATCAGTATTAATCCCAAATTTAAATGGATTAAATGCCCCAAAGACACAGGCAAATTGAATAAAAAGTCAAAACTCATCAGTATGCTGTATCCAGATCCATCTTATAAGCAAGGACAAAGACTCAAAGGGTGGGTGGAAGACTTACCAATCAAATGGAGAGGAAAAAAAACAAACAGGAGTTGTAACTTTCATCTCTGATAAAATAGACTTTAACAGTAACAAAGACTGAAAACAAACAAGGACGTTACATAATGGTAAAAGGATCAATGCAACAACAGGAGTCAATGATCATAAATATATATGTACCCAATATAGGAGCACCCAGATACATAAGACAAGTTCTTAATGACTTATAGAGACTTGGACTCCCGCATAATAATAGCGGGAGACTTTGACACCACATTGTTAATATTCGACGGATCAACGAGATAGAAAATGAACAGGGACATCTATGATTTGAACTCAGACCTGGAACAAGTAAACTCAGTGAATATTTATGGAATTCTTCACCCCAGTTCCACAGAACATACATTTTTAGCAGTATTACATTACACCTATTTTGAAAGTGACCACATAATTGGAAGCAAATCACTCTTCAGCATTTGCATAGCATTTCACAGACTTAAATGAAATATTGGTTGGCTGTTATTTTCTTCCCTTATTCCTTCCTGTCTCCGCTATTAAGTACAATTATTGGCATAAAAGAGGTTTTTTGTTTTTTTTGAGACGGAGTTTCACTCTTGTTACCCAGGCTGGAGTGCAATGGCGCGATCTCGGCTTACCGCAACCTCCGCCTCCTGGGTTCAGGCAATTCTCCTGCCTCAGCCTCCTGAGTAGCTGGGATTACAGGCATGCGCCACCATGCCCAGCTAATTTTTTGTATTTTTTTAGTAGAGACGGGGTTTCACCATGTTGACCAGGATGGCCTCGATCTCTTGACCTCGTGATCCACCCGCCTCGGCCTCCCAAAGTGCTGGGATTACAGGCTTGAGCCACCGCGCCCGGCCAAATGAGGTTTTTAATACCTATTTTTAGACTGCATTCCAGCCTGGGCAATAGAGCAAGACTCCTGTTCTCTCTCCCCCTTTTTCTTTCTCTTTTCAAAAAAAAGAAAACTACAAATTAAAATTATAACAAGATATCACTATGATCCTATTAGAACAGCTAAAATAAAAAAAAAATTCAACAATCCTAAGTGTTGAGAAGGATGTAGAGTGACTTTACTGTACTGCTCTTGGGACCGGTGAATGTGACAGCCATTGTGAAAGGCAGTTTGGACGTTTCTAATACAGTTTCCTATAACCAGCAATTCCACTCTTACTAAATAAAATCTTATGTTCCCATAAAAACCTGTACACAAATTTAAATAGCCACTTTATTCATAACAACCCCAAACTGAAAACAATACAATGTCCTTTAACTGAGGAAAACACAAATAAACTGGGGTACTTCCTCGCAATGGCATACCACTCAGTCATGGGAAGGAGCAAACTATCTAATAGGCAGGGATCTCTAGAGGGACACAACTAATAGAATAGATATGCAAAGGGGACTGACTCACAGGATCACAAAGTGAAGTCCCACAATAGACTGAATGTAAGCTGAGGAGCAAGGAAGCCAGTCT